GATTTCGACCGACTGTTCGGATCCGTCGTTTCTTACGTGCAAGAACGCGATTTCCTCAAAGACAGATTGAGAGACGACAATCTCGTAAGGAGCGTCGTTGGCGAACTGGAGGAATTCCGGTCAAAACTGCCCCCTTTCGGGACTCCGACGGGAGACGACCCACCGAGACAGGACTGCTGTCATTACGAAGCGAACGTCTCGGCAATCTTGCTGAACGTCCTCTGCAAGTTCCCTTCCACACGTATGATGGGTGCGTCGATAGCGTTGGACACGCCGACTAAAAGCGTGGAAGCGGCCGAGAGATGTCGGTTCGATCTTTCGGAAGCCAGCTATCGAAACCTGCTTCGGTTAAAAGAGAGGGTTCCAAGCCGGTCGCGTCCAGACGAGCGTCCGTCGACGTCCGACGATCGAGGAGATTCCGGCGCCGCCGACGAGCTTTTCGACGCTTTGGAACGGTACGACGACGGAGAAGAAGAGAATGCCTTCGTCACGCCCCCGACGAATACGGAGGAGTTGGAGGTCGCCACGTTACCCGCGAAGCGTGCACAGCAGCAACGGGAGCAACAGTATGCGGAATCCGTGTTGGATTCCTAAGCCCTCGGCGACCTTCCCGTGATCACTGAACCTGAGGAAACGACGGGAACTGGAAGGAGAGTGGGCGACCGCGAAGGTCCTCCATCCAATATCCCGTACGACTTCAATTCGCAGGATTATCGCGATATGGAAGAAACAATCGAAAGAGAAGCTGCCAACGAGGACGACGACGCCTACGATGACGACGGGGCAGCGACGCCGACGGGAGATATTCGCTATTGACGGGAAAGTTCGCTATTGACGCCAAACGTGAGGTGGGTGGACGCGAACTGGAAGCAGTACAATTCTGGATTTCTTCGGGAAAACGAAAACGACGATCTGGAGTGGGATCCGTCTCAAGACGGTCGACGAGTTCCAGACAAACCGGAGACGTACCTGAGACCCACGTCGTCTTCGACGACGGCGACTCCCAAGTCCGTCTCACTGGAAGATCTCGATGCGCACCGTCGAGAATCGGCGAAGGAGAACGAACGTACTTTGGAACTGGGCAACCAGAAGCTGAACGAGGTGCAGGACAAACTTGCGGAAAAGGAAAGAAAATTGACCGAAGCCAGAGTCGTCATACAGAAATTAAAAGACGAAATACACGATGCGAAGATGTCCGCGTTGAGAGAATCGTCCGACGTTCGCAGCATCGCGGAGGAAGAGGTCGAACGTCTCAAGACAGAACTCGCTTCAGAGACGGATGCCCTGAAGGAAAGGGATCTAGACGTGGTTCGCTTGGAATCGGATCTGAAAGCCGCGAGGAGAAAGTCGTAGCAGCCGCCACAGGAAGAGAGCGGCAGCGAGCTGCAGCAAAAGCTGCAGGAAGCCGTCCGCAAACTAAAAGTCTGAGAGAGATCGCACGCCAACATGAAAGAGGAGTTGGAAGTGAAAGACGACAAAATCAGCGTGCTGAAGAAAGAGTCGATGGTCGCCAAGACAGCGATGTCCATGTACGAAAAGCAGATGGACGTCTTGGAAGAAAACCTGAAAACGGCTTGCAAGCGATACGACGAGGAAGTGAAAAGCAGACGGATTGTGGAGGCGGCCGCAAAAAAAGGCAGACGAGCACGCGCAATCCATGGCCGACAAGAACGTCGAATTGCAGCGAGAACTGTTAAGACGGCAACCCGAAGAGTCGTTGTACGAAATGGAAGTGAACATCGGAGAGAAGGAGGAGTTGCGGCGAGCGCAATCCGATCTGGATGAGAAACGGAAGACGGTTATGCGATTGAAGAGTGCGATCGAGGAACTGAAAAAGGTTTTTCGAGAGAACAGGAACATCAAGGAGGAGGTGGAAGCGAACGCCAGGAAGATCGAAAGTATCGACGACGAACTTCGCGCGTCAAAACGGACGCTCGGCGACAGAGACAGAATGATTTTTGACAAAGATCGAGCGACGACCAACTTGAAGAAGGAAATCGCCGCTCTCAGGGACGAACTTGCTGCCGAAAAGGACAAGGTGGCAAAAGCCGTGAAGGAACGCAGCGACGACGACGCCCGAAGTTCGGTGACGCTCGAGAAGATAAAAGACGAATTGCGACATGCGAACCGGGAAGCGGCGGCTGCAAAAGACCTCCAACGACGGTCGGCGACGAAGCTGGAAGAGACCGAGAAGCTTGTGGAGAGTCTGAAGGAACGGTTGGATGACAAAGGTCGCTCGACTGCCAATGCGAATAAGGAGATCGCCTCCCTCAGAGACGAACTTCGTGCCGAAAGGGAAAAGGTGGCAACGGATTCCAAGGAACGCAGCGACGGCGACGCCCGACGTTCGGCATTTTTCGAAAAGATCAAAGAGGATTTGCGACTGGCGACTCGCAAATTGGAGACTGCCAAAGACAGGGAACGACGGTCGGCGAAGAAGTTGGAAGAGAGCGAGAGGGAGGTCGAGAGTCTGAAGGAGTGGTTGGACGTAACGGAGAAGAATCACGAAGCGAACCTTCGCGAGTTTTGTTCTTCCGCCGAGTCCGACAAGGCGAAGGCGATCTCAGATCTGGAAACGGCCAAGGCCGATCACACAGACAGGACCGATATTCTCCGGACGGAGATTGCCGATTTTAAGGAAAAGCTGGCCGAGGCCACCCGAAAGGAGTCTTTGCTGATCAAGGATGTCGAGAAATTAACCGCCCTGACAGATGATAACGAAAAGGAGAGTAGGAGGATGGAAAAGCATCTTTCCGATAAAGATCGCTCGGCTATCGACTTGCGGAACGAGATCGACACCCTGGAAGAGAAAATGAAACGGAACGAAAGTGAGATTGACGATCAAATGACGGCCTACAAAGAAGAGATTGAAAGAAACGTGAAGAGGATGAAAGAGTTGGACGCTACGATCGCGAAGAAGATTCGAGAGGCGGCCGGTCTCGAAGACAAGATCGCCGTCCTCAAAGAAGGGAAGGAACGTGACGGACGGAAAATAAAAGGGTTGGGGGTGCAGCTCGCTAACAAGGGACGCGAGGCGACCGCTCTCAAAGACGATATAGCCGCATTGCAAACGGACCTCTCGAGAGCGCGCGAAGAATGCGCGGACGACCGGAGTACCGAACTTTCCGTCATTCTAGAACGGACGTCCCGCGATCTGGCGGCCGCCAAGGAAGCCGAGATCAGGCTGATGGCGAACCACGAAAACATCGAGAAGGAGATCCCGCAGTGGAAGCAATGGGTCGAAGAATTAGAAAAGGCACGAGACGAATCTCACGAATCCCACGCCAAGGAACTCGGATCGCTTCGAGACGATCTCGAGAGGGAGAAATCGGACGCTGAGACGAAACTTGCAACGGCGAAGGCGAGCCACTCGGACGATATCGAAAATCTTCGAACGCAGATATCTTTCATTAAAGAAAAGGAATCAAAACTGAGAAGAGACACTGGTAAGTTGCATGCGGCCCTAAAGGAACGGGAAGAAAATTATCTCGATCGGATAGCTAAACTGGAATCCGATAAGATTTCGCGATCGGCAGAAGCGGAAGAGGCTCTTGAAGAGTGCGCGTCCCTCTCGGAGAAACTGAAGCTCGCGACCGATTCCGAACGTCGGTCGAAGGAGGACCTTGATAGGTGGCAAGCCGAGAAGAGGTCGTGGCAAGCGATGGCCGAACGACGTTCGGCAGATCTCGACAAGCTTCGCGACCTGCTGAATACGTCTGAGAGAGAACGCGCAAATCTTGAGTCCCAACTTTCGAACGTTGACAAGAATCTAACGGAATCGAAAGAAACGGATTCGTTGAAGCGGGAGCTGGAAAGACATCGACAGGAGATCCGACAACTCGAACAACTTCTGATCGACGTTAAGAGGGAGAAGTCGGGGGGAGTCCAACGAATGAATGATTTCGGAACTAAGTAAAGAACTCAAAACGGTCATCAACGCGCGCGATAGACTGGTGAAAGAGAACACCGAAATGGAAAAGAGGCTATCGGAATCGGAAAAAAGTCTGTCGAATTTGTACGACGAATCGATGAAAAAAGTTGTTCACCTCGAAGAATCGGTGTTTTCGAAGAACAAGGAAGCGGACGAATTGAGAGTAGATTTGACGAAAACGAAAATAGGGATGGACGAGATCAAAAGACAACTCAACTTTGCCAATAACAAAGTGGCGGAGGCGTATTCCGAAGTGACTCGAATCGTCGGGAACTCGGAAGACGGACGATCGCACGAGAAATGTCGAGAACTTCTCACACGACGCCTCGATGAAGTGGAACGTTCGTTGGAAAAGGAAAGATGAAGACGGCCGATTGTGCGCAAATGAACAAAGAATTAATGCGACAGATATCCTATCTGACGAACGAAATAGAAACAGTAAATTATGGCCGAAGTGTCGAGGTAAGCAAATTGCGCCGATTACTGAACGATTGCAGAAGCGAAGTGTCTCAACGACAACGTCGAGAACCTCCCGGTCGCCGTAACGTCGGTCCCAGCTACAATGTCGTCGAAGACGCATGTTCCGGAAGTTCTGCGTGCGAATCCGAAGAGGAAGTGGACGACGACGTTAGCGAAGACGTCCTCGTCGGCAAATCCGAAGAGAACGAAAACCCCCGTCCCATCCCGTTCGTCGTGGACTACCGACCGAGCTCCACCGCCTACGGAGGGTTGATCGGAGAGGACGAATGTTCGTTTCATCAGCTTCTGAACCAAGCAAGACGGTTCGTCGATTCCGAGGACGAAGTACTGGAGGCGGCGAAGAGGTTGTCCGAGTGCACGGTTCCCATCTGCTTCCTTTCGAGCAACAACCATGCTGGGTTCGCCGGAAGGGGAGACGCGCGCTACGTGCTTTTCGACGACGACGCCGAAAGCATAAAGTGGACGGACACGGATACGCTCGTCCAGTTGGCCGAGAGGATACTGGATCGCAATCTCGTACACGATCCCGGTGCGGTGATAATGGAAGATGTTCGACGACATTGACGACCCGGCAACCAGTTCCGACAACTTCCTGCTTTTCATAAACATCCTGCTTGCCGACATCGTACCTAACTGCGAAGAACGCGAGCGGGAGAGACGCGAACTTGTCACTTCCGTTTTCTGAATGTCTTTTGAAATGTGGAGGAATCTCGAAGTGCGCGTGCGAAGGAGATGGTCGAGGTGGGCGCGAGACAGGAGGGCGATCGACGCAGACCGCCGTCTAGAATTATTCGAGGATGGTGAGCAGGAGGAGGAGGACGACGACGACCACGACGAAGACGATTCGTTGAAGGAGTTGTCTGTGAATCTGCAACAACGGTTGGAAGCTGCGTGCGGAAGCGGCACAGACGACGACGTCGTTCCCTTCTACGCAAGATGCTTAGTTCTAGCGGAGCACCT